ATGGAACACAAGCGCCAAAGCATATGGTAACAAGCTATGGTACGTACGGTGTGATGACTGGAATGTAACAACATGTCAATAATTCTCTATCTGGATGGAGAAGAGAGTAGGTTAATGCCACAAGGATTGGACACACAATTGCATATAAAAAGTTGGACCTGTATACATAATTTCTAATAATTATGCTTTTAAATTGTACGCACACATGTACTTATTTATAATTTGATAAAATGTCAATGTTTATATTTGTTTTATCATACAAAAATATGAAATAGATGATACAGAAGGACTCACAATCAATACAAAAAAAAGAGGGAAAAAAGGGCAGCAACTTATGTTAAAGTCTTTCTATGTGATTTTTCACACTTAAATATATTAGAAATCAAGTATATCCTCTGAAAATAACTCTGTGAGTCATGACTGTCTACAATGGGTGTAACACCTGAGTCCCACTGTCTGTGATGTTTTCAGAGTTTTCAGAGTCCTATCTTCACTTTGTTTACATCGCCAGGACGGCCGGCTGACTCCTCCCCTCGTGTATAAAAGTAGTTTAATTGAGGGACTAGAGAAAAGAAGAATAACATACTGTACTCACTGCTTAACTGTGTTTCTAGATCACGCTCATTTCAGGTAAATTTACATGCAGTGTGAAGATACAAGCATAATAAAGATCACTAGCATTAGCATGCTAACACAACAATGCAGCGCAAGTTGTTTTGGTTTCATGCTGGTGCTCAAGGGCGACATCTACTGGATCAAAAAATCCCATATAAAGCCTTTAAAGCAGTATTCCTCACCCAAATAGTTCATACATAAACATATTCATTTGCACACACAGTGACAGTAAGTACACTCAAACATATACAAATCCTCTCAGACAGTGCTATAACCTCCTTAAAGGAGCAATATTTAAGATATCTACTGAATTAAATCATTAAATGACCTTACTATATCATCAGCCATTATGGGAATATTGAAGTGCTGGATTCTCTGAAACCAATGCAGCAGCCAGTATGTCCTAATTTCTATGTTTCGATACAGATCCGAAATGATGATGGCGGTTTTAAAGTACCCCCACACAGCTGTTTTGGATGCCCCTTGGTTTGCCAGATATGATACCAGTTATCAGATATAACTGATTTTACCCGCCCTAAAAAGATTCTCTTTCTGATAAGCTCCAAGACAAGAAAGTTGATGAAATTAGGAAAAATGTTGGAGATGTGAAAGATTGAGAGAGGTGAGAACGCAGAAAGGCTTCAAGACGGATGCAGAGCTGGCTAAACACTGAAGCTTCTGAGTATGAGACATAGCAATCCGTGTGCGCATCGACTCTAGAGAGGAGGGGGCGGGGGGAGACGGCTCTTTTCAATGTTTTGAATTTGGACTGCAGTACCCATTTTAAACACTAGGTGTCAGAGTTACATACTGCTCCTTTAAGATGTAACTCTCCTGAGATAAACCATTAAGACCTTTCATATTTATAAGATATTTATAACCTCAAAAATATTATTGTGGCGATTATGGAGGAGGCTGTTTAAGCCAGACTTCAAGACTCTTTGGCACCACCTTTCAGAAAGGTAGTTTCATAGGGCAGTCATATAGTGCATGGAGAAATACACCAAATGTATTTTTTTTAAACTTTTTTTAAAATAAGTAGTTGCAAGTTACTGCAATAACAAATTGAGAGTAGTGTTTAAAATGTCTGGAGATGGCGTTATCCCTTCTCCTAAGCCTCTGACCTTTGTTTGCTTTCAAATTTGAATATGTGCTGCGCACTGATGAATTAATTAGCCAATAAAATGCATGTGAATTGTGAATTAAAGACGGTAGAATGGGTTTTATAGCCTCCTCTGGGGGATGTAACGTTGTAATGACCTCCTTGAGGAAAGAGATGAATTCTGATAAGTGCTCCACAGAAAGGGGGAGACAAACTCTGACCTTCAGCAGACATCACACCTGTGTTCACTTCTGAGTGCCCTTCAGCTATATATATTTTTTTGTGTGTGTGTGCCTCAAACGGCTCCATTTTCTGTCCAGATAACCCAACATGTGTCTTGGCCCTCTGCTGTCTCAAGATGTTTTGATAGGGGAGCACAATGAAAGCATCTGCCACGGTAAGAGGCATCCCTGCCTCTCCCTGGCTCCCTGACTCTGCTGTTCTGATAGCGCATTATCTTTCAGATTACGATGCTCCATTATCCGAGGCTGGGGATTACACCACCAAGTACCATCTTCTGAGGAATTTATTCAGCCTCTACCACAGTGAGTTCTGCTTGTTGTTGCTGAGACGAGCTCCATAACTTCTGTCCCTCTTTCTCTCACTTTCCTTTCATCTCAACACTTAAAGTTAATTCTCCTTGTGCAACCTGCCCACTGTTGGCTAAAGGAGGATAACTTTGCATTTGATTAGAGGCGTGGATTAGATGGGGGTTAGTATGGGTTTGCATGTAGGTGATCTCCTACAGTGAAAACTACTTTTCCAGGCTAATTGCTAATGCAGTTTTCTGATTGTTAAAAAGGGGTTTGTGGTCAGGGGTAGAAGGCTTGAGTATTTTTCATTTTTTTGGCCAGGGCTGGAAATAAAACTTGTGGTGATCTGAGACTGAATCCAGCCAGCAAACTAATACATTTCTAAGAGTTAGATGCGATTGAGAATAGTTGGAAAGGCGGTGTGCATGTGCGTGATTCTTCCATATGTTTTGTAGTCTGCTGAACAATGAGCAGTGGCCTGGATATATGAGGGAGTCTGAGGAGGCTTAGTGTTCTCAGAAAACCACTAACTCGTGACCTAATTCCTAATTGGATCAGCTTGATATTTATTTTTGTTTGCTTATCGAATCATTTACATTGTCAGCTACTCTTCAGTCTGTGGTGTTGTTTTATGTGCCATGGTTTTATTCTGATCTGTCCGACAACATGGCTCATCATAGATCTGGGAAGCTAGACATTCATCTAGAATACACAGTGTGTGCGGTTGAAGTATAACTCAGTATTCATCTTTCTGAATTGTATTTTCTATTTATTTTGAAGCATTCATTCATCCATTGTAAACAGACTGTTGTCATAGAGACAGGATGGGTGTGCAGTGCTTCATGCAAATACTCCCGAGCGCACAGCCAGCGCTGTACAGCCCAGGAAAAACACTAGGTGGACACTGGGCCTTAGTCGTCAGTTCAGAATCTTTTTTTTTTTTTTTTATATCTAAAATGATTTTTATTTTTTACAGACCTTACCTTATTCTATCCTAAATCATTACAAGTGTTTTGGTTCTGTTGTGTAAAGTCTAATGGACATATTTAATTTTTATTTATTTCTGGAAGGTTTTTCTTTTCTTTTTTTCTTTCTTTTTTGAAAATATATTCATTGCTTTTATAAAGATAGAAAAAAACAGCAAAAATAAAAACCTACACCCCACCCCCCTCTCCCAAAAGGAGTTCAGAATCATAAAATGCATCAGCGTGCATTCAATGAATTAGCTTGAAGCAAGATGCTAAATGCAGGAATAGAATCACAATGTGCCTCTTGGTAACACCGGTCATTTCTAAAGGTGACACAAGAGTCGGTCCATTCATCCCAACAAAGACAACATCTGTAAACTATTTGGCTTTGTGATTTTGTTTCCTGCCTTTAAGCCAACATGGAGGCAGGAAATTAAACAAACATTCATATGAAATTCAGATAACTGCGTTGTTTTTTTGTTTTTTTTACCAATTAAAACTTTGACCTCATCAGTAACAAGGTAACATGCTGAACATAAGGACCTTTATGAAAGCTGGCGCCAAAAGCGTTGCTTGAATTAAGTGTGCAGTGCACATGAAACAACAAAGGAGAGAGCCAATCAAGTACTTTGAACTTTTTCTGCCCTTGGAGCAAATAATGGTTCAATAATTTGCTTCTTCCTTCCTCTTATGACCACTTAAGTTGGAAACAAAGAGTGCTTTGGAAAGAAAGAACCTTTTTTTTTTTTTTTTTAACTCTTGAAGTAACCACAAGTGTAAGTGCTCCATTACTCATATACAGTACAAGTGCCTCACTTTTGGTTTTTAGCCCTCCTCCTTTGTGGCAAACGTAAACACAAAGATACTTTGTTCCCTTTGAAAGGTGTCAAAGTTGGTTGAGAAGGAAGGCAGCATGTCTCTCTCTCTGTTTGTGGTGAAACATGTTTCTCTTTATGGCCTTGCACGCTGCTGACTTTATTCTTCCAGCGCTGTCAGGAACGTTTTGAACACACTGTAGTCTGGAGCAGGTGGTATGTAAACAGTCTTGGCTTTGCCAAAAAAAAAAAAAAAAAAAAAGAGAGGGAAAATAAAAATCAACAACAGTAACCATGGCACTTTAACAAAAACCAAAAACATAAAGAACTCGATAAAGGAGTTTTTGGTTGCAAAGTTGTCATGTGTCATGAAAGAGAGAAAGTGTTGAGTTAGTGCCGTGTACAGTTTGAGCTGCTGGTTTTTGCTTTCTGTTGAATCACATCCCTGATAAAAGAAAGAAAATGAAGCTAACTGGATACAAAAAGTGAGATAGAAAACAGTTTCTGTCTCCTGCTTTGATTGTGTGGCCATACCTGTGTTTGCTTCTCATGTGGTAAATGTGGCATGGTGCGGCTGCTATCCCTGACTGTAAAGTGTGTATTTTTTTTGCATTGACCGGTCCACCTTGTGTGTCTCTATTCCTCCATCTCTTTCTTAGAATCACTTCTGTTCTTTCCTCAGGCTGTCAGGAGCAAGGAGCAGACGAGGAACCAGGAGAGGCTTTGTGATGTCGGTGATAATAGATCACCTGAAATAGTCCAGAAATGAAAGAGATGATGATTGAGCTGAAGGAAGAACAAAAACTGGAACTTTGACCTCTATGCTTTTTTTTTTTTTTTTTTTTTTTACAATATTGTTCAAAAACTGCAGGAGGTGCAAGAAGCCCATTCTTCTTTGGGTCCATTTTTATTTTATTTTAATAAAACAAAAAGGCTTTTGGCCTTTTTTTTTATCTGGACCCCTTCTTTGACTTTCTATTTAAAACCAGAGCTTTACAAAACAAAGAAAGATGCAACACTGAACTCAAAAAAAAAAAAAAAAAAACAGGAGAAATCTTTAGATCTTTTTTTTTCTTTATACTGTATAGCTGCACTAAGGTTTCCCAAAGCTGAGAACGATGGGAATGGCGAGGCAGTAGTGGGAAATCCTGGACAGCACTGTAAAAGTTGACTGTCCTTCGGTTCCTCCCACTGCTGGAATGGTTCAGTGGAGCTGAGGAGGAGGGGCATCCACAGGGGGCGGAGCTGGAGCTTGACGGACAGTTGCGATTTTGAAGAAAAACCAAATGCATGCAAAATGATGCCCCTCCCTGCTTTGTGGTGAAACGGCTGTGGGCGTAGAGCGCCTTGTCATAACTGGAGAACGCTCAGTCGGTGAATCTCTGACAGGCCTTTTTCCAGCGGCAGGCGGTGCACCACATGTCTCGGTTCTCCATGCCATACACCTTTCGGCACTTCTTCCCTTCACCACGCACCTTCCGACTGTAGAGAGGAGACAGAGGTTAAGTGATTAAACCGAAAAGATTGTTTTTAAAAAGATAATCATAACATGTGCAAGCAAGAATCAAACGGGCAGAAAACTGAGGTAAACAATTATGCTTGAGATTCCCCTAATAGAACCAATCAAAATAAATGCTGTATTGTATAAAAATGCTTTAGAGTTCTCTCACAGGTAAAGATTTAGAAATTGATTAAATCTACTGTTATTTTTCAGAAATGTGTTTTTCTTTGTTTTTGGCTAGCTGTTTTTTGTTTTTTTTAATTCTTCTTTGGCGACTTGTTTCCACTTCTTCCCAGTGATTATGTGGTAACTTCAAAAGCAAACTGTATTTCTCAAGATGTTAGGAAACTTTTCCATTTTGTAACGTGAGTTATTAACAAATAACAAATACACCACAAACAAGCAACAGTCCTTTACTCCTTTAATGATGTTTGTGTCCTAATGTGGTACAGAAGGGATGCACTAACTCAACAATCTTCAACAGCTTGGTTTGTTGTTGAAGTGGATAAGACAAATCTGAAGCTGCCAACTTGTAATGCCTCATTTTTAATGAAAGCTAATTTAGCAAGCTGATTTGTAAGAGTCAGTATTCTATGTTTTTAACACATGAAGTGTTGTAACTCAGGTAGATTTAGTTCAAGTAGAAAATCCTTTTAGGAACATTCCTTGGATTCATCTGAAGTTAAATTGACAAAGTAAATGTCAGGTACAACGCAGCAGGCAGTAAGGACTCAGTACCTGAGGGCGGTGGTGGCTCTGGGAGGAGACGAGAGGACAGAGATGGTCTGAGAGCGCTGCTCACCGAAGCCCTGGCTTTTACTGGGAGACATCTGAAGAGGAGAGACACGTCTGAGGTTATAAACACAGAATCACTCCGTGTGGCAGAGAATCATTGGTGTGCATTAGTGTTTCCTCACTGTGCTTCCGGTGAAGGTGACGGGCGGAGACTGCCAGGAGATGCTGAAGTTGGAGCTGTTGGTGGGAGTGAAGCTGGTGGAGGCCGAGCTGGTCGAGTTACTGCCGTTTGACGGGATTGACACCGGAGCCGTGGCCTGAGGTCAAAGGTCAAAAGGGACGGTTTTTATGACCCCAATTTTTAATTGATTGATTACATTTATTTCAGACATATCAAATAAAATCAAACATATCAAAAAATACAAAATGAAAAGCACGAAAATACAATAAACAAAAAACGAAGTTCAAATTATTTCACAAAAAAAGAAAAAGAAAAAGAAAATTACATATATTCAATTGATATGCCTGAAAAGGAGTAGGAAGAAGTATAAAACTTATTTAATCCTACCCCTTTTCCACAGCTCAATAATTAATATTTATTAAATTAAATGCCTGTGTTACTTATAAGCTATATAAAGAAAGCCCCAAAAGATCTGGTATTAAAATCTAGCACTTTCACTTCTTTCTTTTCAATCAATCTGTGTTTCAAATGAGATTTATGTTTTCAAACATTATTAAAAGAAAACCTGGAAACCTTTGAGAATAACTCATCTCAATGTAAGGCAAGTCCAAAGTCGAGATAAAATAATGTTCTTTCAAAATGAAACTAAGCCTCAAACTTAGACTAATAAATAGATCGGCTTGTTTTTCAGTAAAAGTTTCTGCAATATTTTCATTGCACACTTTAGGGATCTCAACTTGTAAACACCATACAAGTAACTAAGGGTTGATAATACCATACCATATATCAAAACCCATCTGTTCAAGATCGCCTACTCTCTCTAACATTTTAACTGTAATTACACTGTCCTACATTTCATTTCTTTACTGTATGCTGATTTTATCCATCATTGTTTTTTCTAAATGTTGATTGTTGCACAGTGTCTGTGTGTGTCTTGAAAGGCGCTTATAAATAAAATTTATTATTATTATTTATTAATA